ATATACATTGTGCTTGTGTAGTTGCTCTTGTAATTAGTTAGCTTATGTAGCTCACTAGTTACCTTCTTGCTTGTGTAGCATAGAAGTAGCTCCCTTGCGTGGCTAATTTGGTTTGTGTAACCTTATTAGTCACTTTGCTTAGTTTGTGTAGCTAAGTATTCGCGCTGTCTAATTTAACATTGGTTGCCTTGTTATTGAGCATTGCTCGTGAGCTTAGTTGGCTTTGTGCTTTTGCTTACTAACATGTGTAGGAGCTCCTAGAATTGCTTGGGTGAGCTCTAGTTAGCCCGGTATCTTTGTTGCTTAATTAGGATCTTTGTAAGGTGCTAGAGAACATAGATAGAGGGGTGTAATCTTGGCTAGACCGATAGTTCTAATTCCGCACTTGTTTCGGTTAGCCGACGTGATTAAGTTTTAGAAACGACTATTCACCCCTCTCTAGCCGCCATCTCGACCCTACAGTGCTGAGTTGGGGGTGTAACGTTGTCTTTGTGGCCCATGAAGTTGCCGACGATGATGATGCTGTCACTGTGGGCGAGGAGCTTGAGGAGGCGCCGCCACGAGGGATTTTGCTTGCATCGGCGGTAACGATATTGGTTGCGGAGGAGGGTCCGACGACAAAATGCGGGATGAGGGATATGTAGAGGAAGGAGAAGGATGAGGCTTAGGAGAAGCCAATGAGGACGAATAAAATGGCACGGTTTATATAGACAATAAATTATAATAATGTGGTTCAAAAAAAAAGTTTGCTAAAGCGCTAGCTAAACCTTCGCTGCTAGTGCGATCAGTGAGGCAAGTTTATCTTAGACAACTGCTACACTATCTCACCATAGTTTGACACACTTTTATCTTAGGCAAGTTTGATTAAGTTGGCAAGTGTTTGGTTGGCAACTAAATTTTAACAAATTTCTTTTAGGCTCCGCATGTGGTAGCTGTGGCAATGTATGGCTATGTACGCTAGTAGTAGCTAGTAATAGAGAAAAAAGGCCGGTGCTCGCTGCCGAGACAGCCCCAGCTGGATGGGCGTAAAAAGTGACAAGAGTACTCGCTTACGAGTCCTGGATGATGCCTGTGGTCGTCCTTCCAAGTCCTAGAATCTCTAGATTCATTTAATACTATGTCATCAGTCGCCGTCAATCTGCTCATCGCTCGTTTAGCAGATGATAAAAGTTCAATGAGCGCGCCAGATTATTGGAGAATCCGTCAGTAAACTCTCCGCGCACGTAACGTGGTCCTCCGCGTCCAGGTCAACCGCAGCATTCTCCGGAGACGCCGAACCTGAGGGATCCGACGTGGAATCGAGACAACATATCACATACTATGCTTGGAAGTACTGTAGTGGCGTAGTACTACAATTGTACAAAAAGTCAAAACACTTCATAACTCACCGATCTGCATGTATACCTACCTCCTCGCGACACGTAACACCTCGTCGCTCTTGGGGCCACAGTTCTCCCGTTTGTCCGTTGCACCGCCCAGTGCCCGGAGCCGCTGCCTTGCGCTCCTCAAACCGTGCACCTGGCACCGCGCTAGGTCGCTGTTGCGCGTGAAACCGTCGAGGCGGCACGCCGGGACGAGGGCCCGGCGAGCCAGTGGTGCCGACGGGACGCACGTCGGCTGGGGACCCCCCACGGCCAACGACAAGTGGTCCGTGCACGCGCGCCCGCCCACGGGGAGTCCCTCTCGCGGAGTCGCGGTCCGTGTCCCAGACGGGTTGTTTACCAGGTCCGCGCGAGCAGAAGTGTGGCTGGCCCTTCGCTCGCCGTCTCGGCTCGGTTCGGCTGCGCACGCGGCTACTGGCCCACTAGGCAACTGGCGAGTACAGTAGCCGAGTAGCGGCAGGCTGGCTCATTGCGCAGCTGGACAGCGTGTAGACTGGGACGTGTACAAGTACTACTTGCACTGGCCGGACTGAGCTGACGCCGATCCCTATCTGTACTGTGTCATCTCGTCTGCTGTGGCAGGGGGCCAGACCGGATCTGAACCCTTCGTCTGGGTGATGGGCGGTTGGTTTCGGCCGAGCCTGCCGTGTCGACTGACGTTGACGGAACAGCGCGTCAATGTCGTAGGAGAAGTCAAGTGGTTTGAAGTCTGATGCCCTGTCCATACCGGAATTCCAGAACCTCGCCTGGTCGATCCGTCACCGGGTTACTTTGGTTTTACACGCGGTTAATATGTGATGGTTGGTTTGAAAAAAACAGGGTGGTCTATCATCTTTTCATTTTTTTTAAAAACAATTTGTTTATGGGAGGGGAATGTGATGAGTGAACCACCGTCTACGCATCCCTTCCGAGCTCTCCTTCCGTTTCAAATTCTAAATTGTAAAGTCATCATGACTTTTCTAGATACATGTCTTTTATTATGTATTTAGACATAATATATATCTGAAATGCGTATCATCAAAAAACTACTGCGTACTTAGAAAACTATAATGACATAATTTATAATGAAGGCAGTAATATTTAGTATAAACATAGGATGATGTAGTGGCTACTTAAATTTATGAGATAAACTCACAAATCACGATGCATCGCCTCATATAGAATACCAAAATATTTATTATTTCACCACGTAGCATGTAGCAGGGGTAAAACTGTGTTAACAATAGCATTAGGGGGGGTGGGGGTGCAAATGTACACCCTAAAAAATACGAAAACTACGATTATAACTTATATTTCACTATATATGCACCATATGAATAAGTTGATGCACCCACAAAGTAAACATATCTTTCGTTAATTTATTCAAACTTCGCCACTCGGCAACTCCAAGAGTCCATGCATTTCATAGAAATGTACCGCTTTATTTGTCAAGTACTCTCTCCATTTTAAATGTGTCTAGATACGTAGAAAAGCCAAAACGACTTATAATTTGTAACGGAGAAAGTTATAAAGCCACTCTAGAGAATAAGTGGACAGGCTTATTATACGTTTAAATCCGTTGAGCGTCACGGTAGGGAAACTTGTGCAAAGATTCACCTCGCAACGAGCGGAGTTTGGAATGCATGAAATATTCTAAGTTTCGAGAAAATTGAAATTGTTTCTTACACATCTTATAAGGAAAATCCACCACCATGTACAACATCAAATTAGTTTCGTAGTTTCATTGAATTATCTATCAAACATATTTTGACAAATAATTTATTTGAAATTTTAGATGTTACAATACTTTTATAACATAGTTAAAATTAGAGAAGTATGATTTATAACAAAACTGAAGTGGACTATATTATAGCTTAAAGGGAATTTGGTGTTTCGCCTTGCTCCAAGTCAACGATGATTTTGCTCTCACTTTTTAACTTTGTGATTTTGCCCTAGTCATTTTCAAACGGCAGCAGCCGATTAACCCTACTTTCTAACTGATGAGTGAATTAAAAGGGCAAAGAAAAAAAGAAACAACACCAAGCGAATAATAGACAAAGACAACCCTGCCCCTCATTAGTCGGCCGGCCGCATGAACTCACCTCATGCTGCCCCCCTCTCGAAACTGGGTTTGGGTTTGACGATCGGCGCACGCTGCTCCCGGGCTGGCCGGCGACCGGCGACGCGTTAAGCGCCCCCCTCCCCCCTCCACCTCGCCACTGGTTGCTTGGAGCCAGCGGACTCACTGCAGATCCGCCCCGGCCGCGGCCGGCATCAGCACTGGGCCTCTGAAGCCGCCCATGCCCCACGCCCTCCCCAGCTCGTGTGGTTGAGACGAATCGAGATGTAGCAGCTTGAGGACGATTTAATTTTGCCGCGAACGCCAGCGACGGAGAGAGAGAGAGAGAGAGAGAGAGAGAGAGGGGGGGAGAAAGGCTCAATTGCAGCAGCAGGATTACTCCAGGCGGATGCTTCTGAGACGGCCAGACGAGCAGCTGAAGTAGGCAGGCTGCTTGCTGCAGGTGTTGACTGAATCACTGAACCCAGGTTCAGCTACAAGTCTCGTTCCGTACTCTCCCTCCACTCTCTCCATTTCACAAATTAGAAACCCAAAAGGATTTAAACAATATTGGTCATGGTTTTTTTTTATAAAATATTGGTCATGGAAACTCGGGATGAATCATGCTCTAGATTGGAAAAATAAAGCTCCAAAATTCACCATTTTTGTTGGAAAATTAAAGCTCCTAAATTATCTATCTTGTGTGTCAAGATATTGCATTTGTGTTGGAAGAAATAAATCACCATTTTTTCAATATAAATATGAACAAATGACGTGCGCTACATGTATCATAAATATTCACCATTTTTAGATGAAATGCTGCCGAATTTTTCTAAAAATTATGTATGAAAACTGCCAACTTGTTGATATGAAAATAGGGGTAAAAACACAAATATCAAAATAAAACAGGGGGTACAAACGCATTGGCAAAGTTGTCCATTTGTCGAAAAGTTAACATCGTTAGAGGGATTTCACATATCAGGGGTAAAGTCTCCCTTCGTTTTGAAATCGCAGTGGCAAAATCATAAAGTTAAAAAAATGATAATGAAATCATCATTTTGATTTAAAATAAGGGTAGAAACACTTAAGCCTCCGACTCAAGATACAAGTGAGTAATTGCTTTTCTAATAAAGCGGGAGGTGGATAGGATGATTGTATTATGAGCTTTAGCATTGACCCGTCAACCGTGGCCAAACTGAAGCTGATATGTGCATTCTCCCTTTAGTAGATTCCTGATAAGCAGATACACGCGGTTGAATCCAGATTCCAGAGTGCACAAAAACGTTCCAACTCCAACGGCCCTTCCCGGTCGCGGCTTCTGAACTGAACCCCTGGATGGTAGGCCAGTCAAACTGCATGCCAAACAAAGCGCACACCTGCCCGCGGCTTTCCTTCCGTGATACCCGCCGAGCGCCGCGGATCGCGACCCTTTTTTTTTTTTTTTTGCTCAAACTCCCTTCCCCTCTATATAGCCGGCTCCACACTGTATGCTGCGCAGTCAGGCTAGTCAACCCGCTCTCGTGTCCCGGGCCCTCGCCTCTGCAGTCTGCACTGCCGGCTGCCGCGCGCAAAGGATGCCCATGCCTCGCCACGGCCATGCGCTGCTCGCCGCGCTCCTCGCGTCCGCGGTCGCCGCGGCGAGCGCGCAGCCGAGCTACGGTGACTACGGCCAGCAGGTTCACGTCAGCACGGCCATGATCGCGCTCCTGGCCGCCGTCATCGCGGTGTTCGTCTTCATCGCCTTCTTCACCGTCTACCTCCGCCACTGCACCGGCTACGCGGCCAGGTCGGACGACGACGACCGCGCCATGCCCAATTTCGACGCCCTCATCTCGCGGTCACGGAGGCAGCGGCGGCCGCGCGGGCTCGACGCCGAGGTGGTCGAGGCTTTCCCCACCATGAAGTACGCCGAGGCCAAGGCGCTGCGGGTCGGCAAGCAGGGCGGCGCGCTCGAGTGCGCGGTGTGCCTCAGCGAGTTCGAGGACGAGGAGCGGCTCAGGCTCCTGCCCAAGTGCAGCCACGCCTTCCACCCGGACTGCATCGGCGAGTGGCTCGCCAGCCACGTCACCTGCCCCGTCTGCCGCTGCAACCTCGACCCTAACAAGCAGGATACCAGTAGCGATGAGGAGCCCGCCAGTTTCCCGTCGATTCCAGTAGCGAGCAGCATCTCCAGCGAGATTGCGGTGTCTGGGCAAGGACCACTACCAGTGGCCGTGGTGATCGATGTGATCACCGAGGAGGAGGAAGAGGTGCGGAGGCAGGAGGCGCTGGAGCTGCAGCAGATAGGGACCCAGCGGCGAGCCATGCGGTCGCGGTCGGGGCGCAAGCCGGTTCCGACGCAGCTCGCCAGGTCGCACTCCATGGGCCACTCCCTCGCCGTCCGGCTCGACCGCGACCTGGAGCGGTTCACGCTGCGGCTGCCGGAGCACGTGCGCAGGGAGATGGTCGCCGCGGGCGAGCACCACAGCATGCAATTGCGTCGCGGGCGAAGAGCCGGGGAAGGAAGCAGCCGCGGCGGCCGAAGCGCCCCGCTCGGCCGGCCGGGCAGATGGCAGTCGCTTCTTGCGAGGACGTTCTCCGGGAAGCTGTCGTTCTTTTCGGCGTCCAGGATGACGATTAGCTCCGAGCTGGGAGAAGTGTCGTCCTCGTCGTCCACGAGGGCGAGAGGGAAGCGTGTGGCCGCCGTTGATGCCGCCGACGTTCCTGCTAAGGGGAGCGTCCGCCTTGACCGCATCGGAGGCGGCGGCGGGTCCGGTGCAGAAGCTGGCGCTGCGTCCCGCGAGGTGGCGGCAGCGGCGGACAGGGAGAAGAAGGCAGCTACGCAGCAGGTTCGCACGTAGAATGGGAACAGCAGATTTGAACGTGCTGTAGAAACTAGCTTGAAAGTTTTTTTTTTTTTAGCTGGGCAAACTAGCTTGAAAGTGATCTTCTCTCACACGCGAAAGAAATGGGCCTTTTGATGTGCGGGGAACGGGGTGCTGATTTCGTTGCTGGGATCAACGTGTGGTAGTGCTCCAAATTCGGTTGAAATTGAATGAAAACACGAGATGTGCAGATGCTGTTTGTAATTTTGTACAGGAGCAGAAACGTAACCTACAGGTAGAGATGTCTGAACAGAAGTTGAAGTTTCTTCTCTGTATATATGCCCTTTACCAAGTTGTGCACTCGTGCTTTACTTTCTAGCCCTGATCCTTTCTGTTGGTATGCATTTTACCAGATTTGTCATGCGTTTTGCTTCAGAATTAGGTACCACGTTTTGAATACTAGCATGGCGCGAATTCGATGGAGTGAATTTCACATGCTCCACCTCAAAACGTACACGATTGATCAAAGTAATAAATACTATACTAAGTTCAGCTTGCTCTCCATGCCGTCGCAAGAAAGAGTTGTTCTTCTTTGTTCAACCACATACAGTATGTGTAAGCTTGGATGGGATCCAAATGTTCGAATGGCTGAACAACGCGTAAGTGAAGAAAGGCTGCAACCATCGTACGTCAGATACTCAGATGTTCTGTGCTCATGGTCCAGACTCCAGAATGAAGCTGAAGTAGCTTTGTTAAAACTTTCTATTCATCTGCTTCTTCTTGCAAGAAGGTTTGTTTAAAATTTCAAGTGCTACCTGAATTTGTACAGTATGACACCGATTAATACTTAATAGATGGTCCCAATAACAAATGCCAAACTCAGAGTTGATTAGCAAATGCCCGGGTATTTCTTTTTCCTCCTTCAGAATGTCAGCAGTTCCTATAGTCTATAGAAATAAACTTGGGAGGTCGGCAGGAGAGAAGAAATGGATGTCCTTCTGCCTGACTTTTACGTGCACGCAGTGCAGAAAAAAACAGGGATCAACAACAACAATAAACCACGCGAAGACGGGGGCATGCATGCGCTCTAGACGGAGACAGAAAGGCAGGCAGCAGGCAGCGAGCTGGTCAAGCCGTTTCAGTGGTTACAAGTTTAACACGGCGCTGAACTGTTGAATCATGGAAACATGCAGTGAACTTCTTTTGCGGATAAATCATGGAATCATGGAAGACTTTAAACTCTGGATGGTCCAAGGAATTGGCACTTGTGACAACAACCTACCAGTCGGTATATAGATTACTGCTTTGCTTCAGGATAAGAGGCAGTTTTCGCCCGTTTCAATTTTTCACCGTCATATATACTTTCTTTCCTTCTTTTTTTCTCCGATCCGGGAAAATGAAAAAAAATAAATGAAGTTTCCTTTTTTCTGCTATTTATGCAGAACTTCATTTTCAACGGGAAACGATTGTAACTTGCATTTTGTTTACTGCTGATCCTGCTGTCCCTTAGGGCCTGTTCGGTTCCTGGCGAACCATGACCAGGATGTAATCCGGCCAGGATCGGGTGTCTCCAGCCGGAATGTTTCACGACTCTTTTTCCGGCCTAACGAACGGGCCCTTATTCTAATCGCAAACCATGTCATCTTTGCAGAAAAATGAAACAAGTATCCCTGTTCTATGACATTGCCCCTCCATGCGTCCAACCCACAAGATGTTGTAACCTTAAGATTTGATTTTGTATTTTTGTAATCCACAAAAATTGTCCTTTGATGTACTGCTGGTGGAACTTAATCCCTTTTTTCATATATACACGTGTGTATATATATAGGACATGATCGATGCCGCTATGATGGGCACGTACAACAAAACGCTCCCAACATCCCTTGTTCATATATTGGCAACTTACGTATATCCTAGTTCCACTACACCCTGCAAAAATTGCAGATTTAACTTGCACTCCTCCCAAGCCTCGCACATTTAGAAATTAGCACATTGACTTAACATGCACCATTCTCTAGTCAGATGCCCCGCATCCACAAGACATCCTAAATAGTTCAAAGCTTGATTCTTCCCATATCTAGTTTCGGTAGCTTTGTCATCAACCACGTTCGTTGTCAATCTCAAGACATGCATATGAATTCTGGCACTGTCATAGCCTGCTTCGAGATACAGTGCTCAGCAAGAGAAGTCATCTCTTAATTAGTGAGGGCACAAAATCCCTTTGGTCTCAACCAGGACTGAGGGACATGTATCAAGATGACACTTCTTTTTTTTCTCGAATACGCAAGCTTTTCATTAACGAGGATGGAGTTATATTACAAGATGCCTTGCGGCTGGAGCAGAACATCATAAGCGATTACATGGAAGTTGAACAATAAGATGCTTAGCTAAGCGCTGGTCCTAGTTTCCGGGCGCTAAGCTAGCCAACCCGTTGGCTCCTGCCTCAATCCAGCATTGAGCCTCTGCATGTATGATCTGGATGAGGTCGAATGTCGTGCTTGCAGCTTCTCTGAAACACCGGGCATTCCTTTCTTTCCAGACGTACCAGGAGACCAACGCGAAGAGGGAGTCCATCCCGCCCTTCTGCTCGCCGTTCCTTGTTGAGCGCAGCTGCCTCCACCAAGTGATGGTTGATTGCTTCTGCTGCGGAAGGTTCTGTCCGAGCGCTTGGCAGACATAGAACCAGACCTCCCGGGGTATCAGGATGACACTTAACTTTTAACTATAGTTTCAATATCTGCCTTTTCGCTGCATCATGACAGTCTGAAGTATCTGTTTTTTATTTAAAAATGGCATAAAACTATGATCATTATCGTTTTCATGAGCATTAGTGGTTGGACTGCCGGATGTTCACATGTTTCATGTTTTTAATTCGAGACTGTCAGACAGGAGTCTACTGTCTACCAAAGGAGGCATAGCCAAATACCAAATAGTGATATCAACGAACATCCTAAAAATTCACCAAACAAGGACAAATAACCAACTCAATATATATTTCCATGATGAAAGAAACCAAAATTAAAATCGATGCCCAAGCAAAAAAAAATGTTAGCAGTTTTCTACTGTAATGCACTGCACACTGTAGAAAGATTGAACTTAGTAATGGGGGGTCAGTTTATAGACCTTAACAGAACAGCCAATCCAGTATGTTTTTGTTTAGTTCAGATCATTAACCAAAACCAAAAATGAAATAATAAGAAATTCTATAAGGCTATAAGGATACATTCATTTCCCTGTTTTCGTAATAACTACAACAAAGAGGAATAAGGGACTTCACTGAGGAGGAATACAAAGGTGTAAGAGTAACTAATTGACATAAAAGAGGGAGGCTATGCAAGAGTAAGAGCTGTGTTCACCAAAAAAGCAAATCAAATTCCGACTGACGGCAGTGAGGTCTTGGAATAAATATACTAAAATAGTGGTACTGAATTCATGCCGCAAAACTAGGTGTTCTTTTACAAGGATAAAGTAAATGCATCTAGATATGAGATATCTATAGCTAATTTCATTTCAGCACACAAAGGAAGAACTAATTTCATTTCAGCACATAAAGGCAGCATTTGTTGCAAGCATTGGTGTGCACCAAGGAACTGCACAATAGTTCGGCAAGAGGCTGTTCAAAGTACAGGCAGAGATGACATGGACCGACTATCTTTGTCTTTGCTTCTCAGTATCCCTAGCATGCTGCTGCGAATGCACCTCATCTTCATGAGGCATTTTCCCAGCACAAGCAGTAGCATAAGCATCTGCAAGCCCTGCAATACTCTTGTCGTAAGGTTCAATAAACTTCTGGACAAATCTTTTCTCAGTTAAACAAACAGTATAATAAAAGTCAATGTTTTCCTTCACAAGCCCCTTCGCCTTCAGAATCTTGATGAAATAATGCCTGGGCATCAGCCGCCTCTACATGCTATAGCCAAGTATTGCTGGCCTATGCAAGATGTACTGAAGCTTCAACCCAACATCCACCTTCAGGAACTTCACTGTGCGACTCAGCTTGCCTTCTGATATCCTCAGAATTTGGGGCGACTTGCACACCATAATGGCCAGCTCCGCCTCGGAGCATCCAAGAGTCGCCTTCATGACATCCATTTTTGCACCAATGGAGTTGGGACCAACGCAACGGACATCACACATGGCGCTCTTGAACATCCCTGTATTGCGCGGCACACCAAGCTTCTCAGCACATGCCACCCATTCCCTGACATCCTCGGGTTTCATGCATATCAGCATTGAGAACTCTGGAACATTAGAGGCAATTAGATGCACTGCTGTAGGAATGCTATGTTAGGCTTGACCACATCCTCAACGTTCCAACCGAGGAGGATCGGACTGATGTTGATGGCGGAGTGCAGCAGATCGAAGCAACCCAAGAAGGAGAGATAGAACTGGAGGTGGGGAATCATTTTGGGAGCCACGAAGATGTTGGGGACGATGGCAATGAGACGGGAGATTTGGGGAGGGGATAGCCCAATGCTGATGAGCTGAGCAAAGTGAGGGGTTAGGGTTTTGTCCACCTTGTAGCAGAGGAGCCGCGGGTACCTGGCGATTCTGGCGGCGATGTCGTCTTTGGCGAGGCTGACGCCTGTGAGAAAGGCGAGGGCGGCATCGGGTTTGACCGGAGACTTCAAGTGGGTGAGCCCCTTGGAGGCCCTGCCCGATTGCGCTGGGGTGAGCCCGCAGGTGGTGACCAGGTATTCCTCAACGACGAATCGGGCGGGAGAAGTGGCGGTGGTGGCGGTAGAGAGGAGGCAGCGGTGGCGAGGGAACGCCGCGCGGACGGAGGACAGGAGATGATGTCGAAGGTGCAGCATCGCGACGGATCGCCGCCTCGCCGGGGAAGAGACGCGCGGACGGCGGGAGAGAGGTTTTGTCGGCCGGGCAAGTTGGTTTAGAGGGAGGTCATGGTGACAGTTAGCCCCCGCGGTGGCTGTGGTTTGTGGGCGGGATGTCCAAATTGGCGGTGGACGGCCAATGTGTAGGTCGGTGTCGGGGTGAAGATGCCGGCCGCTAGCGGGGGCTTCTTCTTGCGGCGG